GCCAGCATTGACTACCACTCCAACATCAACCCCCACGCCAGCATCGACTACCACTCCAACATCAACCCCCACGCCAGCATTGACTACCACTCCAACATCAACCCCTACGCCAGCATCGACTACCACTCCAAAATCAACCACCACGCCAGCATCGACTACCACTCCAAAATCAACCACTACGCCAGCATTAACTACCACTCCAGCATCACCCACCACTGCAACAACACCCTCTGCAACCACAGGTGTGAATAAGTCAATATAATTCAGCTAAACCTGCTCATTTGGGCAATGGAGACATCTAATTGAAATTAATTAATCTCCCTTGTTAAAAGCCAAACCCTTTTGGCCAAACCTGCATTCGCTCTTGAACTTGTAAATATGCAATGTGATGTTGCGGTATTTACATGGTTGAGGAATTTGAGAGTGAAATGCTGGTGAGTACGCACTCATTCACTGTTCGAGTTCTGTACTTCTGCAGATGGAAAGAATGCAATGTAAAGCTTCATGAATAGGGTAATGAGAATCCGTAGTATTCCATTTACAGGGGAGTATTGATTTACCCCAAAATTGTGAGCTAGGTGAGATTAGTTTTATGAGGCCAAGTCCAGTTTACAGGGCCTAGCACTACAAAAAGATCTTCTGTGGTTCATTTTTCAGGCTGTCAAGCGTTAAGCTGTCTGAATGGAGGAACTTTTGATACTGAGTTTTGTGAGTGTGTTTGTCCTCTTGCCTACTCAGGCGTGACGTGTTCAGGTAAGATCGTCGAGTATGCCATAAATATTTTTCAAGACTTCCTTTCCCCACTTTGTTTGCATTGATTGTGTTTTGCGTGTTGCGATCGAATTCCATCCTAGGAGTACACCTCGCTGCCTGCCTGTCCTGTGAATGCTTAGCGTAGGAGACGTAAAGCCAATAACCAATTGCTTAAAAGTCTAAATTACTTGAAGTGATTTATGCATCTCGCAGGCCCATGTTAGTATTAAACTCAGGAATATTATCTAATTTCTGTGTCATCACGCGGTGTTAACTTCACCCTGCTCTTCAAATATATAGTCTGTACTTCAGCACTAAAAAAAATCAACGCGTCTGTTCAGTTGTCCTAAGTGACGATAATTCAAGGAAATGAACTTGAGAAGTGGCAGTCCTAGGCTTCGAATAATTATTTAAGCATCAATTATACCATAGGCATCGAGTACTGGGCATTAATTGTTGCCTGGTGGTTAGGGTTAAAGCTTCTGACCATAGGATTTTGGCCAAGTCAGTTTCCCCCTGTGTGCCTCTCTCCATCACCCAGGAGGAAATAGGTAGGCCTAGCTGTGAGGACAGATATGGGTTATATTTAGCAATTGGTTCCTGATATGGCAGCATTGGGCTTGTATACCCCCCAAGGAGCTGAAATAGTTTCAGGAGTGTTCAGATGTTGTGAGCCCTATGTGGAGAGATAATGATAATTTGCAGGCGCCTTAGGATTATAACACTACGAGATACTGTGTGCCACTTAAACGCTCGGTATTATTATTTTGTTAATATTACACTGCTGCCTGAATGCAAGCATTTATAAAACAAAGTTTCAGTTTTCAGCAATGTTGTAGCAGTCATTAAATAGTCATTACCTCGATGAAAGAGTCAGAAAATATATATTTTGTTCCAGGTATCAGTACGATTTTATTACCAATGCAAATTATTTACAGATGAGAACCTATGCCTCTCCGGGAATAGATGCTCGGCCGCTGAACACTACTGTTTACCGGCTACTAACCAAGATGGCTTCACTTGCACGTGTAATGTTTTCAATAACTCTTTCCCGCAAGACGATGGTTCTTGTCGACGTAAGTGTAAATTTTGCTTCTTTTGCATCCAGGATTTGATACTGTTGTTAGATTCTAACAACAGAGTGAAGAACTTCTTTAACTATGGAAATTAAGCTTTGAGTATACAAAACCGAGATATAGTTTAGTCTCGGTGTTGAAATTTCCACTCAAAGCTGTAATTTGTACGGTTTAAGCAAGCATATTTTCATTTTTCTCTTCAATTATGTAGAACACCCTTCTAAGCACATGGTGGTAACAGCTGAATTGGATTTCAATCCGGCCTTTAATAATCCCACATCGGCTGCATTCCGGAAGCAAGCTGCTGTGTTTGAGCAGGCGGTAATAACAGACAGACTAGTAATATTATGACCGTTTTTACAGTGGTTTAGGCAAAGCCAGTCTTTCTCTTTTTCTGCAAACGTTTTCACGAGGTATCCTAATAGATTGGTAGCTGCAATTAACTTTTTACCTACATATTGCCAATTCGCACATGCCACGTGGTGTCAATTAATTACAGGAATAATAGGGAAATAATCCTGTTTACTGGTCACGATGGAAATACGTCTATAAATGTTGCAGAAATCAACTAGGACACTTTTTGTGCTCTTAAAATTCAACTTTCTGGAACCAAATTTCAAAATGGTTCCAGTGTGAAAAAATGCCACCCTTTATATTCTCATTTTTGCGCGTGTCATACCAATAACAAAATGCTCGAAATTAATCATGTCAGTTATTGTGTTAAAAGCTTCATTGTAAACCTAGCAATATAGTCATCTTCAGGGATTCTCGGGGAGTCTCTTCAGGGAGTCCAGTGGCCAGAGACTGTGCTCAAACTTATCGTTTTAATTTCCTTCAGATTTTCTTGAGACTTAAGGGGAATCCTTCAACCAACGATGTATCTTCAGTGCACGTCCCTTTGATGGAAGAAGGCAGCACTGTCGTAAGGTCGGTGGCATCATTTCAAAACGCTGCGCCCTCCGACGCCATCCTACAGCAAGTCTTGGCAAGCAATGCGTCTCTGAGTGACGGAAACACAGTCATATATCTCTACACCAATTCAGTCATCGTTAATGGTAATGGGCATATAGATTACTTTATTACACAAATTACACAATTATTGTAGGCCTACCTTTGCGATACGAGGAACGTTAGAGGAAATATCCGTGGCTTTAGGCCCTAATGTTTCTGCTTTATTTTTGCTCCAAGTTCAATAAACCTTAGATGGAGTTGATGTGTACGGTTTGTAAAGATAATGGGTTTGGCAGATGATGTGTATTAAAGATAGGCCTATATAGGTTTTCCCGGTTAAGTTAGCACTTTTTTCATTTAAATTGCTTGAACGAAAGTTTTATTTCATGAGACGAGGGGTCACTCACCCTATATGTTGATTCCCATTTCAAAGTTACAACACGAGATTTCACGTTCAGAGCATTGTAAATCAAGGGGAAAAAACACACTTATTCGTGCCATCTATTGTCATTTTCGTCTCACTCCATGAATGGCGTTGAATCAGAAAAGCAAATTCGTTTTATGACATCCATTTTATCCATTTAATCTAATGGTGTTATTTCGAAATTGGAATCAACACTTAGGACAAGCGACCCTTCTTTGACGATATAAAACTTTCGTTTTAGCAATTTCAAATGAAAGAAGTCCAAAAATTAACTGTCAAACCTATAATATCGAGCGGCAGGAACTGATCATCATGTATCTGCAAACAATTTTTTTCCAACATTGGGCCTGTATGAAACATGTCTGAATTTATCCACCTCGGTCAGGTAAATCGTGATGTGCATTTAAGCCCGCTATTTTTCTACAGCATGGACTTCCGTAGTTTTTTCTGTATCATTCAGACGTTTGCTCTGATTGTTTTGCTTATGACAGACCAGGCAATAGGCTGTGTGCCAAGCTACTGCAAGAATGGCGGGACTTGTGAGATTTCTGGAAACGCCCCTTATGTTTCATTTACGTGCAGGTAAAAACAACATAAAGAAGCATTTACGTGCAGGTATACAAACAACCTAAAGATAATTTTCATGGTATTTCAATGTACATCAGCACCAGTGTCTCTTATACCAGATTCTTAGATGAATGATTCGACAATATTTGCCAATGACCTGTCTTGCGTACGGTTTGCACTGACATAAGCAAAAGTCCACGAACAATAATGTACATTATTTTTGACAAAAACCGGTGTAGGTATGGAGTGCATTTTTGAAACGTACAGAGAAATTCGAATGGGAGTTGGACAGTGGATTATCGGGCGCCTAACCCAAGCATCAACAGTAAAGCAGTGGAAGCAAATATAGACAAATTATACATATAAGCGTTTCAAAGTTCATGCTGATTTGTTCCCTTTCAGCTGTCCAGCGTCGTATACCGGGGACCGGTGTGAGGTTGAAATCCAAGGTTAGCTCATTAGAAATAAACACATTGTGAGGAATTATTTGAAAAAAAAATTCGGCATTTTAGGAATGTTTTCACTGTGAACAGACGAATAAAGACTCGAATTAATTTCATAAAATATGTATACTATAATACTTAAAAAATTACACTTGCACCAAAAAAAACTTAAATATCATTTGCCACAGCAAAAATGCTTTGGCGTTGCTATTTCATGTCACACCTCACAAGAAGAAATCACCAAGGCTGTCTTTGTCTTATATGATTTCGTGAAATGTGTGTGAACCCCTCTTATTTAGGGCCCGGCTCTGGCGGTTTACCCACCATCGCTACGGTGTTCATCATCCTCGGTTGCATTCTGCTTCTTGTGGTTGTGTGTATGCTTGCCTGCGCGTGTCTGCTCGCCCAGAGGCAGCGTGGGAAGCTGCTCGCTCCCTCCCGGGACAGTCGCTGGCCGGCAGTACCAAGAAACCGCCGGGGCATCCTCGACAACGACCAGAGCAGGGGGTCTGGTGATAGCTTCAGCCAGTCAAATATCGATGACGAGGAGGGGTTTAGGTTGGAGCGGATAATGCAGGTCATGAGTCAGTCACCATACCAGCAGGAGGTATTTAAGCTTGCACTTTTCAGGAGGCTTATTTGTTGTGGAAACGACTCTTGTTGATTGAATGCTCCATTTCAAAATTGAAAATGTATATATTTTTTCTCTCATTCTTTCTGTAAAGGGCTTGCCTGTGCGAGGGGAGTTTATCCGGCCCTACGTGGTGACAGGAATGAAAGGGCCGCATCGTGAGGACCCTCCTGTGAGTAATCTAAAGCTTAGCTATTACACTTTCTGAAGAAACCACACAGGAAAAAATCAATGCGTTGAACAAAATACTTTACTGTAACAGAAAAGATTTTCTTCTAGAACTTTGTCTCTGTAATGGTCATGTATTACCTTAATTAAGGCAGTTTGTTCCAGAACTGCATGAATGAATGTAGGAGTATAATGCGATCAGTATAATCTTTCTATCTCAGCAGGCCAACCATGCTGGTCGAGTGGTGCGCAATCCGATGCTCAACTAGACCCTGCATACTAACTGCTACGTCTACCTTGTTTTCACTTCAGTGAATGTGAGGAATGTGGGCCGATCTCAGTCGATTTATTTTGTGTAATTATGCTTGTGTGTTTTTACCTTCCTAACTGGGCACTTTCAAAATCACATTGTCTGGATCCTTACAGTCCATTAGTAGGCCTATCTCTTAATTTTTTGTGTGTAATCATTTAAATGAACTGCTGTCCTCTTTAAAACTGAGAACATTTCGTTAATGACACCACAAAGTAACACCTGGGTGGGCTTGGGTTCGCTTCGCACAGGTACTAAAACTGAATGATTTTCGTTTCTATAACATCCAGGTACACTGTCACTTGGTGTATGTTCGTTTTCACGAAGTAACACCTGTCCTCATTTAATAAATTGTGTTAATTTTGTTCTGTAATCGCACAAATATTACAATCGTTTCATTTCATTCCACTCCCACAATCACCGGTACATTCCTCTCAAAACCGTCAATATAAACCGTTAAATGATATGTATTTCTGTAACAGTGTTGTGAAACGAAACGAAACGAAACGAAACGAAAAGTCGTTGACAGCAGTTTACGATGTGCGTGAACACACTTGGGTGTTTCTCTGCATGTGAAACCATGCCACATAGCGGTTTCTACGGAGTAATACTGCAGTTAGTGGGAATGTTATTTTGTAGTATCGGTGACGTCTTGTAATGTCTTTTTCAAAAGCAAAATTGCAATTTAATTTTTTTTCTCCTAATCAGCTTATCGAAAAGCTTCTTTTATCCATGTTACCCAGACAGGTTGTCCTGCAAGTACAACATATTTTAAGATAACATTTCCTGTGAGGATTCAGTAAAGTTTCGATGAAGTTAATACAACATAAATCCAGCTGCATTGCATATGGAAGACTCATAAAGAAGTACGTCTATAGAGCGAATTTTAATCAAAACACTTTGACAAATTGAAAGTATTGTGAACGGGCACAATAGCGACAACAATATGGCTGAAGACTTTGCATGCTTTTTAATTACAGTTTGCGTACGTGGAAAGGTTTAGCGCGCATTTTTTCGGTTCATTAACAGTCTTAAACAGACTTGCGCATTTTTGTAAGCAAAACAGACACGCCAATTATATAGCTGATGTGTTCCAACAAGTTTGCACGAGAAGACATGATCCCTTTCAGGCGACCCATTTTAAAGGGAAAGAATGAACTTTAATTCACTTTGCAGAGATTTGTTTGCTTGACGGGTGAGATTTTTTGAGAGAGAGTTATACAGCTGAGAATTTAGCCTACAGTGTGATGACAAGTTTTCTGAGGCCTGTGAGTGATTGAGAGACTGGTTCGCCCTGAGATGGGCCAATCTGTGGATTCCATTGTATTAATACTCAGATTAATTAATTTCAGCCGTTTTGAATTATAACACTGTTATACTGTACGCAGAGTGCTACTCACCAATTGGTAAAATAGGCGTAAGGTTGAATTATGTTCAGTACTTCTACACATGAATTCTCGGATCCAGAGCCTCGAGACGACCGCGCGGTATAATCAGTCAAGTGAAGCGAAGCCATGCTTCATATTTTGAAGTTTTGATTGCTTTTTAACGGGTCACGGAATCATCCTGAATGAGTCACGTGTGTATCTGAAGAGTTGATCAGTTAAATCTCGTTTGTTACTCTGTAGTTAGTCTTCCTGTTGTAGGAGAAGTTAAACTTAACTTACTCAGAGTTCAATTTATATACAGGAATTTATTTGGACGTTTTTACTTTCTGGATGTGCCAAGTGCTGCATTATAAAGGGTCCACAGTTTTTTTCTGACACGCACCTTTTGCGCAGCTCTGCTTTCGTCTTCAGTGATGGACAGGATTCGACACTTTAGTTATTGTGATCCCAACATTTCTTCATAAAAAGTACATTATCTGAAAAGGCACCAAAACACCACTGAAAATGGCACAACAAACATTGAAAATAAAGTTAATTGAAACACATGCATATGCGTTGCTTGGTCCTTTGATGCTCCAACTACCAAGCTTTCTCCCTCATTTATGATATCGTATATGCTCAATAATCCTCCCCCAGCTCAACCAGACTCCATTCAAGATGACCGCATTTTGATCGGAGTTTAGAGTCACAAAACCTGAGCTGTATTGCGTTAAGTCTCTTGAAAATACATGGGCAAAAGTGAAGCTCTTGCTGGCTGTGCCGATTTCATAAACGATCTGAAATAGCATGTTAGACATTCAGTTGCAGGGTTTTCTGACAAAAAATGACTCCAATGTCTTTGTCTGATATGTTGAGCTTCTGTGTTTAGAATGATGGTTTCCCCTTTTTTTCAGAGGCACGCATAATGGATCAATCGAATGCAGATGACATAACATAACTGAATTTAAAAATGCGATTAAATTGCAAAGACAATTTTGCATTAGTTGCGTCAGTTAGTTACACTAAAAGGTTGCTCTCTGTCATTGGCAAAACGTTAGTTTAAACTGCTCTCGCAAAAGCATGAAATCAAGTGCAGTAGCCATAAGTTTCTGTTTAACTGACGGTTTTTATCCTACATGTATTTTCTAACTGGAACGACAACTGTTGTTTAAATGACGTGCATGCAAATGGTCTATTACCGTGTAAACCCAATTAACGCTATTGCAACGTAATATAACGTAAGTATTTTAAGAGGTGATAGGTTAAAAACATATATTACTTAATTGGATTGGGAACAAATTACACAGAGGGCAATTTTTAAACAATTATCTGTATCTTTTTTTTTAGTTTTAAATGTTTTCAACAGTCTGTTAATCTTCTTTATCGGTTGTTTTATAGTTTATTTTTAAAGTACTCAGATCTCCGTGTACGATCTCGACAGTCGCCTTGGCTCAATTAGACAGTCTGTGCCTTTACCTACCATTTCACCACGAACCGACCCTGTATACCGCACAAAGCATTATTTTGTCGTTTTTCTGACATGAAAATGATCTGAGGTCGGTGAAGAAGTAACTTATACCCATGGGGAGGAGAGTTGCAGACTGTAACGAGATAACAAGATAGAGGCTTTTTAACCACATTCAGGCCGCTGATGAAGCGAAATCGGGGCACTGACGACACAAGGAGGGGGTCGAACAATCAAGTTAAACGGGACGAAGTTGCAATGGGCGAATATCGGGACGCTGATAAAGCAAAATCGGCATGAAGAATATATATGTGTTGAACTGGGTCGAAAGTCCCTGGCTACGCGCCTGTATTGAGCTGGGGCGTTTAAAATGAGTGTTTTTACTCAGCGGCGTGCGTATGAGATCATTTGCATTCAGGTGCCTTTCCATATGTACGCACTTTGGGTTCTTTGCGTACGTGATGTGTTTCACTTTCACGGACACAAAAATCTACTCCATTATAATAACACACGTGTGCGTTGCGTTCGGCCCCTCAAAACCCCCCCTGGAGCGATTTTGACGGATACGCAGCACTTGACGTAAAGTGTTGACGAGCATATATATGGAAAGGCGCTTTTAGTCGGAAGATTGGAAGCAAACAGAAAACGCAGGTGGATTAAAGTTTGGTATGTTTTACCAAACACCATTGCGCTTTTAAATCTCAATCATTGAAAAATACGTGTTGTGCACTGCTTAAATTATGCCTTAGTTTGCACTGCTTTCTTGCAGTTAAATAATTATGCATAATACACCTAAGCTCGTTTATCGCCGTGAGTGATTTTAAGGCACAATGAGGTGCAAAAGGTCTCATGGGCATGGGCAAAGTAGGCCTATTCACTTCACTCTTGTTGAATTGATTTTACATGTTCATTAATACTTTCATTGTATTTGATGAAACTGTAAGTATTGCTTCTATGCAGCCCGCGTGAGATCTAGAAGAAAAATAATCACGACTGATAACACGAATAGCACACAGTTCAAACTAACTTGAGCTCAGATGACCACGGTAAGGATCGTCGTCGTTTGGTTCGAACTATCAGGAGAATTCTACATTATGTAACGTGTAGGTGTACATTGTGTGCCCACTTGGATTTTATAAAAACATGTAGGGGTGATTACATGTGTCAATCGAAATTTGGAATTTTCGACAAGTCTACCCGGTGAAATCTATGTATGATGTGCTTTATTGACCCATGTTTAAAAAGCAATGGAATTGGAATTACGCAAAACACAACTCCACTTGCTTTGGTCTTAAGCCGACTCTTCAGTGCATTCACGATGGAACACTTTGATTTAAGACAGAAATTATACTTTTAAGAATAGGAAAAACCATAGCTCAGTGATATTCTGAAGCTTTAATTTTCAAGTCAGGTAGGAACATTGTTTTATAATATATGCAAACCAAGTTACTCAGAAGTTTAATCTTTATTTCTCATTACATTTTGCTTATTACTTTTACATTGGTAATGGGTTAATTAAACGAAGCAAAAAGACACAAGAAATTTATCAGTTGTTTTTACTTATTTCTAAGTGCATTATTGGAGCAAACATTTAACACCTTACGACTCAATTCGGAAACAGTCAACATGCATCCTTCTGACGCGTACTCAGGACTCAGATCAGCATCCGACTCTGTTGTATACAGGGCTAGGTCCAAGTCTTCACTATGTAGGAAACAAGCAGAGATGCGCAGACAATAGACCTAGCCGTAGCTCTGGAATCCTGTTTCGGACACGACCTAGACAGGGTGTCCACGTAATAAGTACACCGCGATAAAAATGACTGTAATGGCAAAACTACTTTATATTTGGGGAAAAGAAGTATATCTCTTGAAGGGCAGCATGTGTTCTTTTCAATGGTATACAGCTTTTGGGGAACAAACTAGACTGATGTCAAGGGTACTGAAATCGGCACTGTGACAAGTTTGCATGTTTGAGGAATAAGGCTCCACCATGCAAGTGTGCAGAATACCAAATGCCTTTGCTTTAAGAACACATTCTTAAAGACAAGGAATGCATCTAAATCAATCTAATCTTATTATTTTCGCTCCTTACCTCACAAGTCTAATGTTCTGTGCTCTCCACGTGGCCTCTATTCCTGTCACTGCACATCTGACATTAAATGTTTATTTAAATAATTTCTACCTCGGTATGCTTTCTATGTGGACACCCTGTATAGTCTGAATGTTCATGCCGTGAGTGGCACATGCACAACGCTCGTGGAGCGTGCGTGCTCCGATTCACTAATGCACTAGTGCCATGAGCCCAAGGACACTTGATCGTGGCATCTCCTTACATTAATTTATGGTACAGATTATCCCCTGCGATTAACACAGGAAGTCTCCGGTATGTTCGATACGGTTTGAATATAGGCGTTCCCAACCCAGTTTGGAGGATGTGTACATGGATTTGTAATATCAGCATTCGTTAATTGTCGAGCGAAATAGAATGACTGTTAAAAAATCCCAGTTTAACATAAATTTTATTCGATTCCAGTGAGGATGCATACACTTATTCGTAATATAAGTCAGTGTATAAGATTTCCCGACAGTGCGCTGATTTAAATAATGGCGGCATTCATTTGAGCGCGAAATCGAATGTACCTCTGCAATCACGAAGATAGAAAGAAAGTTGACGAATATCAAACCAAGCCAAGCTTTGCTCGCGTTACAAGGTGACGTCGCGGACATTAACATCCAAGATGCAAGTCGTTAACAACATGTCAAACTATGCATACTTGGATCTTCACTTTGACTGCGGTCTATTTGGGTTTGGAACCTCTTAAATTGGGATTTTTCTCGGTGGCCGAGGCCTGTCAGCGAATCGTTTCTGTTCCTGGTCGTGGGCGTGCGTTAGGGCCTTCGTGGGAGAACCGCGTAGCATTTTGTCAATCCAGGGAAGCATGTCGTTAACCGTGTGAGTCACAAGGTGGAGAGCTGTCCCCTTCTGCGCTATGGGTAGCTGGAGAACTTCCACCAACATACTGGTCGTACAGCGTGGTCAACTTTCGATCCCTCGCTTCTGGTTTCACCTCTTTGAATGTTTTTAAGGTACAGGTGCAGAACATGTTCAAATCTTTGGGTAGGTCCACCCCTGCCTCCCTGAAATGAATGGCCAATATGAGGAAATCGACGCCGTCTCCATGGTGAGACACGAGACATACTGGAGAAGCCCATTTCTCTGCTTTACGAAGTGTAGCAGAGAAAATTTGTCTGTACGTTGCCAGCTTAACGCTTGAACAAGCTTCGTTTGGATAAGGCTAATTTGAATGAAATGTAAGAGGTCAGAACATACAAGGCGTAAACGGCCTTGGGTGTGGCCGTTCTGGCCTGCGTCCTTCACTGCGCTACAGTCGGTTGACCACTTCTTTGACATGTACCTTCCCGGGATCGCTATGGAGCCAAGCAAAGAGCTGACACATCTGATAAGGAATCACAAGGCCTTCTGCTGAACAAGCTGGATGATCTGATTTATTCGAAGTTAAACGCCTTCCGCCAACAGATAAACGAAAGGTAAGCGAAGTGCAGGTCGCTAAAATACAGCAAATCAGCAAAAAAAATTACCTTCAATCAAAAAGGAAATGAAGAGCAGTATAAGGCCAACTCCAGATTTCAGAAGAAACTGAGAAAAAGCAGATGCTCTGCTAAAAGAAGAACCAAGGCTAAGCCAGATGACCATTAAGGCTCAAGAGAAGATTGAAGAGGGTATGAAATTGATCAATATAGCAGATAGCTCGGAGCTGGGATGGAGAACAGTCACTGAGTACCAAGCAAACGCCATTGCAGAAGATTCCGAGGATGAGAAAAAGATCTGGAAAGCCGAATCAAGAGCCCAAAGGAAGCTGAAACTAAAGACCAAGAGGCTGTCGAGCTGCAAGAGATCACATCCCTCACAGCCAACCTCAAGCTACCGGTAGAAACCAGGGCTGTGCTTTTCTTGCGGGAAGCCCGGGCTCTGGCGTACAGACTGCCGAAATGTGCAGACGATGGGAGAAACAGAGAATAAGATAAGTGAATACCATTTGGAATATAGTCCAGAAGATATATCCAAAAAAAAGCCCGTATCTTGACACAAGTCTGCCCTGCGAAGGACGATGTTAAATTGGAGAGTTGTAGTAACGGTTGTGCAAGTTTTACATCTAAAGGCAGATTGAGATCATCCATAAATAAATGGAGAGAGATACCTTCAAAACAAGTTACCTTAGGGGTCATAGAAAATGGATATAAATTACCTTTGCACAGCTTAACCGAAAAAGTTGAACTACGGAATAACAGATCAACACTAGAACATAAAGATAAATTACAGAAATTAGCGGAGAAACGATGTATTTCCAAAGTAGAAACGAAGCCCTATGTGGTTAATCCCCGGATAGTGTCAGAAAAAATATATATATATGTTTAATTTCAATGTTCTCCCTTTCGGAATGTCAACAGCTCCGTACGTATTTACGAAGATTACTCGAGCTGTGATTAATGACTGAAGATCACAAGGATACATGACACGACAAACTTCAAACTTGAATTTAATGAAACAAAAGAATCGTAACATTCTTTTGAAATATCACAAGTGAAGACATTTCGGTTGAGGAAGTTCACAATAAACCTCACTAGTATACATGTACTCTAGAGGTGGGAAAATTAGTTAAATTGAATAAATAGTTTCTAATAAAAATTGGAGTTGTGTCAGGAGACTAAAAGATGGACCTTAAGCAAGGGCTCTATCCGAATCTGTCGTCCAAAGCCAGGAACAGGTCCCCTGCTCCACTGAAAATATGCGGTGAAGCGCAGACAACGGACCAAGCCGCAGTTCTGGAAGCAAGCTTCATAAATTCGGATACGGCCTAAATGGACAATTTTCGCAAAGGCCATTATGCCATGCGTTCCAATATGCATTAGTTTTAGCAGGTTTAGCCTTGCTGGAAAAAGGACTAATAATGTAGTTTTGCCAAAACTTAAGTGTATCATCAAATGTAACAGCTTTGATCTCGGCGTTGACCATGTCCAATACACGCGGCAGATATTTTGATACCATTCTCTCGACCCAGATTCACGATTAGGTCTCCAGATAAGTGCATAATTGACACGCGAATCTGCCTTTACCATGCACCTTGCATATGCTAAGCAATGAAATTCTAAATAAATATCAGAGAGCTTAGGCAGGGTATTTTGAATCCGTCTGGACCTTTGTTTCGAGATAATTACTCATATTCAGTCTACAGAGGGCACTACTCAGTCTTCGAAGTATAGGTTGCAGGCCAGTAAATAAAATGCCATAGCCAACAGTGACGAATATTCGAACTTCAAAAAATCAGGAAAAATACGAGTTTCTCAGGCATTTGAGACGCACGTCAAATTAATTAAAGCCCAGTTTAAGGTTTTTCATTTTCTTTTCAAATTTCCATTCATTAACTGATGACTTCTGAAGATATTTACTTCTACGGAAGGTCACCCCTAAAATGCAGTCTTGAAGCCTCTCGCAATTTTGAAAAATCGATGCCTACACCTCTCGAAATATAGACCATTTTCAGGCACCAATTTCTTCCAAATTTCACTCAGATGCAAGCTGGCATTCTCTGTGCCCGCCTAAGCAATTTCCCCGATGATTAAGGTTAGGTTTGGCCAACTACAGGTTCGAAATTCGCACACAGTTTGCCCTTGACCGGGTTGGGGAACGCAGTACACTACTCATGTTTTGAAATTCAGACTCTGGACCAATCAGACCTTCGAGTTTCAAAATTTAGGGAGGCAGCCCATCACTCTCCTATCTTGTAATAGGATTTACATCCACATTACATCCACCAGTCAAAATATTTGAATTGGCCAAAAATTTCAGGCAAGAGAGTGGTTGTTTCCCCCCTCCATCAGGCTTAAACAAGTTACTACAAGGCGCTAACTTGAAAAACAAGGAATTTTATCTACAATTATATATTTTTAGAATAAAAAAGATTTCTCATTAAAAACATTACACATGCATGAGAAAAGATACTTATAAGCGCTTTCTCTACTTGGGTGAATCTCAGTACTATAAAAAACAAAACTGTCCATTATAAGTACGTGATTACTTTATTCCGCCCAACTGAGCCAGCCCTGGATCTGTTACTTCTGAACCATGAACAATAACTAGATACGCTACTGCTTTTATTTTGAGATCCCTTAGAAGAAGTGAAACCCAAACACAGTTGGGATTCCTTTTATTGTCAGAATGTAGGAAATAAAGATTTAAAAGGAAGATTTAAATCGGCATCAATACCTTAGCTCACTGTATTCAAACCTAGAAAATTGCCTGGTGGGTCCTGCGCCCAGGGAAATGAAAAAAAAATGGTGAGGGGGAAAAATCT